AGTAACAATAAACTAACATAATAAGACGTGTAGTAACAATAAACTAACCTAACATGACAGGTAGTAACAATAAACTAACCTAACATGACATGTAGCAACAATAAACTAACCTAACATGACAGGTAGTAACAATAAACTAACATAATAAGACGTGTAGTAACAATAAACTAACCTAACATGACAGGTAGTAACAATAAACTAACCTAACATGACATGTAGCAACAATAAACTAACCTAATAAGACATGTAGTAACAATAAACTAACCTAATAAGACGTGTAGTAACAATAAACTAACCTAACATGACAGGTAGTAACAATAAACTAACCTAACATGACAGGTAGTAACAATAAACTATTTTACTATGACTGATAGTGAAACAATCTTTTATAATAAGACCAAAAGAACCAATAAAGTCTTTCAATGTTGCTGATGATAACAACAGATTAAAAATATTTGAAAAAATCAACATGTCAATTGCTAGCATAAATTTCTAGAAAATTCTCAACTTTTAACACATAACGAGAAGTAAAATAAATTTGTTTTAAATATGAGCAATACTTTATTTACATAACTGTATCTTGAAATATAAGAATAAACAGACACACAACTCTTTACAACCTGTGTAATTGGTGATGTTCATTATACAGAAAGACAGTTTTGTAACACACCCATTGTGAAGAAGAACAGTAATTAAACTCACCACCAACTTGTTTTAACTGTATCTTGAAATATAAGAATAAACAGACACACAACTCTTTACAACCTGTGTAATTGGTGATGTTCATTATACAGAAAGACAGTTTTGTAACACACCCATTGTGAAGAAGAACAGTAATTAAACTCACCACCAACTTGCTTTAACCGGACATTGGAGAAGTCACACACAACATCGGGTAACTGGTACCGTTTTGCATCTCCAATCTCATACACAAGTTGCTCAGCAACAGTTGCTGTTGTAACTAGTCCACCAGTACCAGGAGGTTTGGTAACAATAAACCTTCCATCTTCTCTACAATCAACAATTGGAAATCCCATGTTTTCCCTGAAAAATAGCACATTTATTAAACGTTGAAATAAATGAGTTTTTTAATGTGTATTTAAGGTTCTGCTAACTTAATGACTAAACAAAACGATTATCTTAAAATACTTTTTGTTGCCTTACAATCTAAAAGGTCTATTCAAAGAACTTAATACAGTAAAAAAAATGAGATATTATATGTACATCTTTATTGTTGGCTAGTACATCTACAATTTACAAAAATCACATAAGAAGAAACCCATAAACATTTTAAAAAAGCAGCCTTACTTACCTTTCAAGAAAGAGTTATACTTTATAAAAACCTTTACCAACTAATTATATATGTTTTAAACTATCATATATTTGAAGATTATATCTTTCTGATTGCACTGACTAAATTAATCAAATCTCAAACACCGAGTCAGATTTTCACTTCAACGTTCAACTTGTGAATTTTTTATTAATTTGTAAACATACTCTTTTCCCAAATCATTCTGAAGATGCAGATATTTTAATAATTTTTTAAAGTTAACATTTTCCTTACCTCAAAATGTATTTCCTATAAATATGTGTCTCTTCACACAGTTTAGCTATCCTCCTCATACGTCTGCCAGAGATTTGCATGCCACTAGCTTTGAGGCAACTCCCACCTAATTTCATGTGATTTGCACTTTTATTTGATGATGTCATCATGCAATAAAAGCCCTCCACCAAGAGAAGGGGGACAAACCCCCATGTG